TTCTTCTTCTTCTTCTTCTTCTTCTTCTTCTTCTTCTTCTTCTTCTTCTTCTTCTTCTTCTTCTTTTCTTCTTCTTCTTCTTCTTCTTCTTCTTCTTCTTCTTCTTCTTCTTCTTCTTCTTCTTCTTCTTCTTCTTCTTCTTCTTCTTCTTCTTCTTCTTCTTCTTCTTCTGCTTCTTCTTCTTCTGCTTCTTCTTCTTCTGCTTCTTCTTCTTCTTCTTCTTCTTCTTCTTCTTCTTCTGCTTCTTCTTCTTCTTCTTCTTCTTCTTCTTCTTCTTCTTCTTCTTCTTCTTCTTCTTCTTCTTCTTCTTCCCGTGTCGTTCAGACATCCAGCCACTTTCATTGCTTTTGTTATTTATTGTATTACCTCTGTAACCATTCCAGGTTACGGATGAAGTTTTCAGGTTCTTGAGTTCCGCTTTAAGTTGTTTTCCACTTGGGAAGCAGAACGGTTCTGGTCAAGTTAGTGGAGTGTTTGCTCCTTTTCTAGCTAGATCGTTTGTCATCGCCTTCTATCCCGTGGTGGGCTTGCACCGAGAGTAGAAGAACTTTATTTTCTTTGCCTAATTTGTTCAGCTTCTCTAGACATTCGTTGACCAACTTCGAATTGATGGTTACTGACTTGATCACTCTTAATACTGCTTGACTATCGTATAAGATGACTATTTGTTGTTTCTGATAGTTTCTTTTCTTGTTTCCCTAGTTTTTCCTAAATTTCCTAAATATGACCTTAAGAAATCGGGAGTGTGTTTTAGATCATGTTTTGTTTTCTCAGTATACAATTAGAGTTGTAGAATATAGAAGTTTTTGTTTAGTGCTTCGATAAAACCATATTTAAATATCATTAAAACTATTAACTTAATATACTTTTATTTTCAGTCAACGAGTTCGTTTGTGCAAAATGTAACAAAAGTTACAGCAATGCTAGATCGTTGTATTCCCATAAATCGCATGATTGTAGAGGTATTACATATTATTGCACTGTAGGACACTGCACTTACAACTCCAAGCGAATACACAATATGAGAAGGCACCTGAAAGCTAAACACGACATAATGGAATCAAATGATTGGCAATTCTATATAAAAGAATGTTAAATTACCATAAATACTTTAGATTTAGAGGTTGTAACTTGTTTGGTTTGTAGAGTAAATGCGTTCAAATGTTTTGGAATGCATTTATGCATTATAAAATGTGTATATGTCGCAGGCATACCGAATAACTCGGCATTTTGCAAAAAGACTAGGCTTATTATAAAACGCCGACGTTTTTAACAAAAAAAATGATATTTTACAAAGAGTCTATCTGTGTTTCTGAAGACCAGTCAAGATTGCACAAAATATTTTACGCGGGATTGGTATAACTAACCTAAATTTCTCCAAATACATTTCTTTAACTTCTCTTACAAAATTAGGAAATAATGGCACAAAAAATGATAATTCTGTTAAATAGAGTATGTTAAGAACGATTATTATATAGATATAAATTCTTCTTATTCTAAGAGAAAGCAAAGTTCCAGGAAAATGCAGAGATTAAGGTGTTTGGTTTGGTTTGGTTCCAGGAAAAAGAAGAGATTAAGGTGTTAATAAATTTTGTATTTAAAATTATGTTACTTATAATTATAATTTATGAAATAGGGTTCAAGTTGTTTTCGTCTAAACAAACTAAAATTATGACATAAGTTATTGTTTTTATACAGGGTGTTTCAAAACAAATGCGAAAAACTTTAGGGGGTGATTCCTTGTTCAAAATAAAGGGTAGTTTGCTTTATAAACGTTCAGTCAAAAGTCAACCATTAGGGAGATATCGCGGTACAAAGCTGGCGGAAAAATAATTTTTTTATTTTTTATCTTGAAAACGAAAAGAGATAGACTAATGAAATTTTATGGAAGCATTACTGTTATGAAAACACACTTTCAGGTAATTTTTTTACTTTTTTAAAATGAGTGAAAGGGGTTGAAATAAACTACCCTTATCATTCTTGTTAACGAAATTTAAAGAAAAATCTTATTAAACACATGCAAAAAAAGATGTTAGATTAATTTGGATAGTTTAGTTTGTTTAGAAACTTTTTTACCTCTTGTGTTTTTTTGATAAAACTCACCGATTGGAAATTAAAAAATAAAATGTAAAGCATTACATGTCAGGACAAAAAACATTTTTAGATTAAGAATCTAGTGATAATAACGATAATAATAATCATCTAGATAATAACGTATTGCAGTAGAGTAATGGTCAAATAAAATAATATTAGGAACATCCTAAAAAGTAACAGCGGCCGACTAGATTTTTTCTTAAAAAAATTACAGCAGCCCACTAGATTCTTTATCAGAAATTGTTTTTTGTCCTGACATGTAATGCTTTACATTTTATTTTTTAATTTCAAATCGGTGAGTTTTATCAAAAAAATACAAGAGATAAAAAAGTTTCTAAACAAACTAAACTATCTTATTTAATTAATTTTTTTGCATGTGTTTGATAAGATTTTTCTTTAAATTTTGTTAACAAGAATGATAGGGTTAGTTTATTTCAACCCCTTCCACTCATTTTAAAACAGTGAAAAAATTACCGAAAAGTGTGTTTTCATAACAGTAATGCTTCCATAAAATTTTATTAGTCTATCTCTTTTCGTTTTCAAGATAAAAAATAAAAACATTACTTTTCCGCCATCTTTGTACCCCAATATTTCCCTAACGGTTGACTTTTGACCCAACGTTTATGAAGCAAACTACCCTTTATTTTGAACAAGGAATCACCCCCTGAAGTTTTTCGCATTTGTTTTGAAACACCCTGTATAGGAAAATATGGGATATTTTTATTAAAGCGTAAATTATTGAATATGCTTATGCTCATAGCTGACTAAATTTTTATCATTTTTTAATCTGGCTGGCCTCGATTTGGCATTTTGTAAAATGAAAGCCCTAAAAAGCAGAAGTGAATAGAAAATATCGTCATTGTTTAATATGCCTAATTCTGATTAGGCTTTTTGCAAAGTGACTGAAAATAGATAGGCTTTCTGTAAAAATTACTTTTATTGTTTAAAAAGCCGGCATTTTGTAATATGTCTAGGCTTTGTGCAAAAAGCCGGATTATTCTACCGGGTATTGCATCGTCGTTGGGAACATAGGAAATCCCATGCAAAATTTGAAGTGTCCAGATATTGGCTCCCTTATGGATTTTATAGCGAAGTCGTAAATAGACTTTTTAAAAGTCTACATTTGGTAAACACACATACATGCCAAATTTGAACAATTTTGGACAAGTCGATTTTAGGTAATTTAGGAACAATTTAATCGATTTTTATATTAAAACCGAACAGGTAATAATCAAACACCAGTCAAAAACTGACATACCTTAGGTTTACAAACTATGATTTTGTCATTGTCAAAAGTAATTTTAATAAATTTTTAATATTTAGGGAAAATTAACCGAAACATGTCAAATACACTGTCTAATCTATTCCCCGCGTATTTTATCATGTTCACTTTTTCTTTATGTGTATAACAATAAATTATTACTAGTACTGAATATTAAAATTTTATTAAAATTAAGTTACGTTTGAAAATGACGCTGGCAGCTTAAGAAATGTCGGTTTTTGACTGGTGTTTGATTGTTACCTATTCAGTTTTAATTTAAAAATCGATTACGTTTTTTCTCAAATTACCTAAAATCGGCTTGTCCAAAATTGTTCAAATTTGGCATGTGTGTTTACCAAATGTAGACCTTTAAAAAGTCTATTTACGACTTCGATTTAAAATCCATAGGGGAGCCAATATCTGGACAGTTCAAATTATGCATGGGATTTCCTATGTTCCCAACGACGATGCAACACCCGGTATACGCCTGCGACATATGCCTTTTAATACTTTATGCCATTATACAGTATGTATATTAAAAACATTGCAGTAAGTCGTAGTTTTATTTTATTTTAAAATGACCAGATCAGTGATTATTGAGCGCAAATTTGAAGTCAAACTTCGTACTAACAGCTATTAAATTGAAGGATTTGAAGACATGTTTGAAAAAGTCTCTGAAAAATGTAGTTTGAAATGTTGAAAAAGCAATAAATTAAAAATTAATAAACAATTTGACTCACTTTCACAAAATTTGTATTAAAATATCATTCGAGTATCCACGTGCCGAGTTTGGTTCTAATCGACCCAAAAATCCTGATGATTTCGTCTATTTAGAGGGATCGGTTCGAAACGTCGCGTCGAGGGCGTCATCATGTAGCCCGTCCCCAATTATGCCGAAATCGACCCACATTTTCCTTCAATATCAAATCCTTAGTCCCACCCTGATGAAGATGTAAACGAAACGTCGTATCCAACTTTGCAGGGTGGGACAGTGTGCACCGTCGCACAGTGGTTCCAAATGGTGAAAAAGTGCCGCATGTGATTTTATTTTCTTAATTTTTAGGTTAAGGGATACATTTTGTAATTGATTTTATTGAGCACAAAGTTATCATCTGCTGATGATGCTAACATGGTTAGCGAAACGCGCGTCCAGTGTAAAAGTAAAAGTGTTTTGGTGTATTGTGGTGATTTAGTGTAATTTTATTTTGCTGTGTAACACTAAAGGTTCCAACCCTCAACTGTAATCACAAAGTTAAGGTTTCAAGGCATTAAAAAACGTCAATTTATTTAGTCTTTCAATATAATTCACTTGTTAAAAAAACGCCATCTTCAAACTCATTAGAAATTTCGTCATCTTCATCATTACTAGTAGAATTGTCCTCGTCAGAACTCATATCGTACCCCACACCCATCATGGCATTGTTGACAGAAGTTTCCTTATTGAGAAAATCTAGAGGTAGGTGTACATTTTCATCCTTTTTTGTTGTCTTTGAGGACAACTGAAATTTCTTGAATAAGAAAAAAAATAGTGGATTAGATGTTAACATAAATCTGTTAAAAATATCTTCTAAAGTGTCTTTCCGAGAAATCTTTCTTCAGAAGTCTGTACGATATCTTTTAAAATCTTTGTTGCGGGCTTCTTGTGGTTCTTCACTCAATGCTCCTAAATTAAAAAAATAATGATTGTTTGGTATTAAAGTTTTATAAGAAATATTACCTACTGGAATGAAAGGAAATTGTTTCATGTACTCATGTCCATGGTAAAGAATTCTGAATGAACTGTTGGTGAAAACATGAATTGAGGGTAGGTTTTGTGAAAAAGTTCAGCAGTTTCATGTACATAATTTTCATAAGACTCAGGTGAAATAATTCTGTTGCATGATATCGCAGCTAGGACATTCGAGAACCTTTCAATAATAGGTAACTCTATCCCTATAATTTCAGATGTAACTTTCGAGTTCTGAAAAAATCTCCTAGCTGTGTATTTCCGTCATGGGAAATACCAAACCCTGGTTTTAGTTTACCTATGTTTAAACCAGTTTCCTCTTTAAACTGCTTTTGTATTATTTTCTTTTTAGTTTCTTGTTCTTCCTACGTAGAGGCCAGTCTAAAAATAAATTAAATATAGATGGATAATGCTTGCTGACATGACAGCAACTTCTCATCTAACTAACAATGTTTAATTCTCTCATCTAATATACATACTTGTATGAACATCTCAGTAAAAATTCCATGGAGTTAATTTTTGCATGCAAAGGGGATATTCCAAATTTCAAAACATCTGCATTGGTTTGGCTCGGCAAATTATTCAAAGTTTTTGGTCCAGCTAGACAACCAGGGCATCTCTAAAAGTACTTAAATATTATGCAGAAAGTTTTAAAATATTATATTTTAACAAAAACTCATTTACCGAAGTTGCAGCATTTTTGCACACCGCATTTATTATTTTTCCATCTACCGTTGTACAGTAGAATCTATGTCTTACAATGACTTCTACACTATTATTAATTTTTATTTTACTGTCCTTTATTTCCACAATTTCCTTCATCACTCTAGAATACTCTGTTAGAACTGTATTACAGTCTTCCTTGCAGAAAGCAATTCTCATTGGTCGACATAAGCTAAAATTTGAAAATGTAATTTATCAAAAATATAGATTAGGCTCCTCCAAATTCTAGTCTAAGTCTAAAAACTCGACGAAATTTAGATAAAATTTGATATGTAGTAACATATTGATGTAGTTGGTAGGAAAAAAGGCTCATAAATTTCAGGTTTACAATCTTCATACCCTACAGTTTCAGTAAAATCATCAGGATTTAAAATAGGATAGCTCAACTTTTTATTAGGGGAATATTTTGTTTCAAAGCAGCCAACACTTCATCAGGAGAAGAAATAGCGGCTGAAACTGCTTTAGCAACATCATGTTTATGTTCCTTTTTAAGAACAGAAACGGTTGCGTAAGCCAGGATATCTGAAGTATAATTATCTCTGACGTCTATAATGAAGTATATAATATACGGTAAATACAGTACACAAAATTGAAATAAAAAAATCACCTTTCGTAGTTCGGTCTTTTTGAGATTTGGATAAATCGGAAAAACATTTTCTTTTTCATGGATTCCCCAGTGCATTGCAAATTTTCGTCTATAGCTACGTCACTGAATACATTTTTTTCTAAACATTCAACATTTTTCAAACTAAATTTTTGCCAAGAATAAGATGAATCTCTCCATCTTTTGGTCCATTTTTGAATGAATGATTTGAGTATTTTCTTAGCGGATTCTTGCTCCGTGTTGTAAATATCACAATAATTGGTTAGATATAGGGTAATTTCTTCCAAAATTTCAGCTTCCGATTTTCCATTGAATCCATTCTTAAGAAAACGTTTACATAAATTCATACGACTGATGTTACCTAAAATGTCAGGTGTTTTTCAATTGATGAATAGACGCCAGAAGAAATAACCAAATGTTTCTTTTTCTATCTGGCATCAAAAAATTTAGTATAAATTGGGAGTCGCCAGTTCGTATTTTTTTAAATCGAAACCAATATTAGGTAAAAATTCTATTTCGGCGGGTCATGGCGGGTCTAAATATTGAACTAAAAAGTAGGAGGGGTTCTACAAAGACTTACTTTACCTGAATGGCCTTCCTCCATGGTTGTATTACTTTTCACACGTATTATTGTTGATTTGATAAAACACCAAAATTTATCTTAATGCTGACCTCCGTTCGATTTACAAAGTGTACAAATGATAAAAATCTTAAAAATGCTCGCCATCAAAAACTAATCAACAAAAAACATAGACAAGATAGTGATAAATGGTTTATCGGGTGCGTATTTGAAATATGTTATTAAAAGTGAGATTTATCAGATATGAATTTTAACCGATATGCGTCACTTTTTGCCATATCGGAACCATTGTGCGTCGCCGCTCACATAGCCTACCCACCAAATTTGGTCGCGATCGGACAACATAAAATTTGACTAACTGTCACAGTGACACAGGTCGTACACTGTCAAGTTGGCCTTCGTCCATTTTTTGTCTAACGGGCAATGTTGAATGACGGAGCTTTCAACGGACATCGTGTCCCCATAACAGCAGCACAACCTTTACTCATATTACTTTGATTATTTTTAGACTATACTTACGTATGTGACAAATGTAACAAGCGCTACGAGACTGCGGGATCTCTATCTTCACATCGGGCTCACGACTGTGGTAAAATCAAGTATTTCTGTTCCCTCACTCCTTGCACCTACACGACGAAAAGAAAACACGACGTCAAAAGACACCTGAAGAAAAAACACGACATTCTTGAACCTGAAGAGTGGCATATTAGCCAAGTTCGAGAAGATTACTGATCATCAAGTTGGGTTATTTAAAAAACTGTGATTTTGTCACAGCTCCATACCTGGTATAGTTAGAATCTTTGAGAAATTTGCAAACTTAAGAGATTTTAAAATTCTTCATACAGTTGTGGTAATTTAATGTGTAATTATTAGTTATTATAGTAACATATTAATGAAGTGGTTTTGATGAACTATTAAAGGTGTAAGCTGTGGCAAGAAAATTATGCTTTTTCTAGTCCATTTTCACTATGAAGAGCGGTAAAAAATAAAATTGTAAAGATCTGTGAACCTATTAAAGAATATTTTATTAGGTATTTTTTTGTTGTTGTTTTTATAGTTGAGAAACCTTTTATATATCGAACCAGTGAACAATGATACGACAGTGACAATTGTCACTGTCAACACCACATTTTTCTGCGCCAAATAGGCTATTCATTACAAGAAAGAAAATCCAGAAAAGATCCAGTGGTTCTCAAAATTTGAGCAAAAAAATTTTTTTTTGGAAATATTCCAAAAAATATAATATATATTTCAAGTAAAATAACTCCGTTATTTTGGACTTGAAAAACGATAGAGAGAAAATATGTTTCTTTAACGAGATCTACCACCCTTTAAAATACTTGCACTTATTTCTGGGACACCCTGTATATATTAATACAGATTTTTTTTCAAAAAAATCACGCCACTGCGCAGAATCCAAACAGAAACCAAGTCAGACCTGTCAATTTAATCTGTTAGTAGAAATAGCAGACCTATTTTGTATCAGTGGAGATGGTAGCATGGCGTCAGGCTGAGCTAAAACATTAATGCCCACTTGCACCGTTTGTATAAACTTTGTTTAAAGGCTAAACAGTGATTAACTATATATTATTTCATTATAGTTAACCACTGTTTAGCCTTTAAACAAAGTTTATACAAACGGTGCAAGTGGGTATAAGAAACTCTAATAAACAAGAAAAATCAGGTTAACCCACATACTAAATTATGTTGAGTCAGATAATATTGCCGCAGTGCACAAAAAATATCCCACTTCTGATGTAAGGGATCTCTCAAATAATAATGTTTTTAGAGGAAAATAAGTGTTTTATAGCAACAATTGATCTTTACCACGGTTTATTTTTGAATAATTCGCATTCTTACGTAAAGTAGTTTTTGTGGACTGACTCGACTGAAAACTGACGGGAACCTTTGACTATAATATAATAGATGCACAATTATATAGGCAACTGACATTACATGAGTTCAAACTTCGAATTGACAATCTACCTCATGACTGAATTACCTAAAATTTTAAGCATTGTTTTTGGTTAGGCAAATTTGTTTACTGACTAGCTAGTTTTCGTATGGGTTCTACACAGTGGAGTTGCTGCTACAAAGGTATAGAAACTATATTTCATATCAATTAAACTTTTAGTTACGTAATCGAGGGCGCCATTTTAAATTCATTGTTACCAACCATCGACATATTCGGCGCCGTGCTGACCAACTGGAATTTAAATTTCGCGCGGCGGAATTAGGTGGTAGCTCTGCCGTAAAAAATGTCAAGTTGCCGCATTTATTTACTTATTTCCTGACACTGTAATTCGTTTTGACACTTTAGTTTTGTATTAAGTGTTTTTGGTTTAAATAAATAGTGTTCTGATACTTTAAGCTTCAAAATGTTTACTAGCAGACCTTGCAGTCGAAGTTTGTTCTTTTAAGAACCTATTTTAGTGCGAAGTGTACAAGATAGCTTAACAGCCGTAAAAAAACTCATTGCAACTTTATTAGAATATCTTGAACGGGAAATCAGTAGCAATGGCCCTTTATGTCCCTTAAGTGCTGTTAAGAAGGTGAGTTTTGTTGATGTAATTAATAACTGTTTATATATTTATAATTTATTTGTTTTGATTTCCTAAAATATTTTGATTAAGAGAAAATATATAAAAGTGGGCAACGCTGTGCCGGTCAAGCTTAATCACGTGACTAAAAGTTTAATTGGTATGAACTGTATCAATAATAGTATAATTATTTCAATTTTTCTAGGTTATAATTAAGATAGCAATGATAATCAACTATTTGTACGGTTTATTTCACCTGGATTAAAAAAATCTTCACAGTAACAAGAAGCATGTGATGTTGATGTTAACAATTATTTACAAGTTGAAACTAAAAACACATCAATATAAATATCCTAAGTTGAATTATAATAAATGTATTTCTTTATTCTTACACGCTTGTTTTACTTACTTGTGAATCTCATATGTCTGTCTTTATACATAGTGTATATCGAGAAAACTGTATAAATATACATATAACTTAGAACAATATCGTTTTGTACCTCCTAATTCAACTATTATTTTTCTTTTAGATTACACGTTGCAATTTCTCGAGCTTAGGCAAAGGTTCTATTGCAAGAACTGCGAGAGGAGTTACAAGCACTTCCGCCATCTAACGGCACACCTGAAGTATGAGTGTGGCAAGGCACCGATGTTCGAGTGTTCTTTTTGCTTTAAGAAATTTCACTATAGATACAACTTGAACTCGCACACGCGCAGTGTCCACATGCGGGACAGGGATTAGATAAATAAAGCTGGATTTATACTGTATTTCTCTGGATGTGCAGGGTGTCCCATTTTCGGGTGTTTTACAGGGTTTCTCGTGAATTGAGGTACAAAGATGCGGTTTTCACTTTCACTCTGCTACTTTTTTATTAAAGTTAAGATGCCACATACAGGGTGGCGCCTCTCATACGCCGCGGATGCTCCAAGGAGAACGACAGTTTGTATTAAAATGAAATTTTGTGAACATATGTAGGTTAATTCAGAGCATTTTTTAAAAATATAGAGAGTTCTACAGGGTGTCCCCAAAAAAAGTTACATATCAAAGTTGTGTTTTTTGTAATGGAACACCCTATATATTAATTGATTTTCGGACTCTAGGAGAAAAATAAAGGTGAGTTTTATAAGAGAAGTATATGACTAAAATGTAAGATTTTTGACATATTTAACATTTTCTAGAAATAAAGAACAATTTTTAAATTACAATACTATTAAGGTTGCCTTCCCCTCAAACAAAGATTTTCCTAGATATTTTCATTTACATGATTTGATCTGAATAGATCTTTATTATTTGATAAAATCTAGGTGGCTGTGATATGTCTGACGTTACCTCAACATAGCGGTCTAATTAGTCCAACTTTAACAACTATTTATCATTTTGTGTCAGTTAAAACAAAAAAAAATTCTCAGAAATTTGCCGAAAATGCAAACTTTATCCTACATCAGAGAGAATTGATATGATTCTATTAGTTGGTGAATGCAATTATTAGATTAACGCATTATTAGATACAATGCACCAATTATTAGAATACTTAAATGCTCCTGATTTTATCTAGTCTGTTTTCTTATGGGGATATGTTAAAGACAGTGTTTACAAAACTCGACCAACTAGTGTCGACAACATGAGAGAAATTATTGTAGCTTCGAGGTAGAACTCCACATATGCCTTTTAAAATGAAAAGATCCTTTTAAAAAGACAATCATTTTATGCAGTTAACAGGAAAGGAAGCATTTTGAGCATTTCATTTCATCTAGCTAATTTTTGTCGTATAAAATTATAGGTTTATACCTAGTTTTAATTCTGTAATAATAAAAATATGTTTTAAACGTGTATCTTTTTATTACCCTTGAGTATTTTACTCTACAATCTTTAATTTTTGTTAAATTAACAAAAGCTATATCACACAGCCACCTAGATTTTTTCAAATAATAAAGATTTACTGACGCAAAATCATAAAAATTAAAATATTTGGGAAAATCTTTGTCTGAGGGGTAGGCAACCTTAATAATATTTTGAAGATATATAAATTCCCCATTAAACACTGGAAAAATATACTGTGTATTACATTTAAAATAAAGGAGTAACTTGCTTTTAAAAGTGACTAATGTTTCATATTAATTTTGTCTCACCCTGTATAACTTTTCGAGTCAAATTTCAATTTGGTGTAACATACAATGGTTACTGTAATTAACTATTAGGCTATACTAGGTCAACTAAAATTTAGGTAGCTGTTATCGAATTTTAAAATTTACTCTTCATTTTCACAAAATGTGAAATATGTCAAAATCCTTAGATTTTAGGTATATGCTTCTTTAATAAAACTTACCTTTATTTTTTTTCTAGAATCCGAAAATCAATTCATATATAGGGTGTTCCATTAGAAAAAACACAACTTTGATGTGTAACTTTTTTTGGGGTCACCCTCTATAATTCTCTATAATTTTATTAAACGCTTTCAGCTAACCTAAACAGTGTGAGATATGAAAATAGTTTTCAAAAATGGAATAATATACACGGTGTTCTATTTAAAATAAAAAAGATACTACCACAATGCTTTCAAATGATGCGACAACATTGTAACGCTATGCCCTAATATGGAGCAGATGCAAAAATCGAAAAACAACAAAAAAATGAGAAAACCCATAAAACATACGAAGATGGGAGACACTACACTTTGGACGAAACAAAAATTAGAGGCAGTCTACACTTACAACTTTGAATGATTTCTTCAAGATGATCATTAAAGTGATAAATATAAATGAGCCTTAACTCTAAAGTAGGCTACGCTTTATTGTCAGAGCTGTCACAAATACCGTATAAAGTATTTTCAATATAAAAAGTTATTAAATAAAAGAAAAACTAAAGGTACAGAAAATAACTTGACATATTCAAGTATTTGTAACAGCTCTATTCAAAATAAATATGTTTTGGTAATCAATTTGTTCAAAAATATTATCAGGTACACAGAGGTGTATAGTGATAAGTCATTACACATATTTATACATAATATGATTCTGTATTTATAGAAATCAAAGTAAAATCTATTAATTACTATTAGGATTTGTGATTTATGCTGTTTATATTTATAGTTAATTCGGTAGTATAGCATGAGTTAACATATTGTTAACTCAGCAGTCTGAATCATTTATTGTGGTTCAAAAAAAGATTCTTTATTGGTACAGGGGGGTGGAATGCTTTTATATCATAAGACGAATTAAAACTATTATATATTTCTTTTTATTTTATTTATATTACACAAAATATTAAATATTTTATTTATTTATCCTGAATATACAAACTGCTGTCACAGTGTATTGTTTACGAATGCTTTACTTCAATTATTTAAGGAATTCGATATAAGCACTAACAAATATACAAATTAGAGACCTGACAGCTGGTGTACCTGATAAAATTTCAGAATCGTTCAAAAAACAAAGAAAAATCAATAAGAAAACCTCAAAAATTTGTTTTTTTTTATACTCCTGCGGGCAATGCATTTATAATGTACTGAACAAATATTGTAATCGCAAAACATTTTCCGATGCACGTCGTCAATCATATCGACGTTGGCATTAAAGTATATAAACCTGACTAAATGAAAGTTTGGCAAAAATGTTTAAATTTGTTGTACAGGGTGGGTCAAATTCGACGCTTTTAAATGGAAACAAC